CTACAAGAGAGTGAATACACCGCCATATAACCCCAGATTAATATCAAAATGTACTTTTATTTATTTATTTATTTATTTTGCATTATTCTGCTTTTTTGTGTGTGGAGCCACACGGCTAATTTTCAAACAACTCGAGCTTTCCTGCGGTAAAGAGCTATTTAGCAGACAAACACTCGTACGTACGTTTGTATTCAAGTCATAATGCTAACAATTTTGCTTCGTTAAATATTTAACCACGTAATATTAAGAATAATGAATTGAATTATACAAACTCTCTGTACTGTAAGTAGCTGCAAGGTAGAACCAGAAAATTCTGCAATACTGAAAGCAATTGTGTCATGTGTTTGCGCCCTAAAGAAGTATTAAACCTTGTGCGTGCCACGTGCCCTGACTGTCTAATTAGGAGTTGGACTAATAAAACATGTTTAAATGATTAACGTTGGAGAAAACTACATAATGAGGAGCTTCATAGCTTGTACTCTTAACCAAGTATAATTAGAGTGATAAAGTCAAGGAGGATGAGATGGGCAGGGCATGTAGTACAAATGGGGGAGAAGAAGAATGCATATAGAATATTTGTGAGAAACAAAGAAAAGACCACTAGGAAGACTAAGATGTAGATGGATGGACAATATTAAAATGGATCTTAGAGAGATAGGGTGGTATGATATGGACTGGATCTATCTGGCTCAGGATAGGGACAAGTGGAGGGCTCTTGTGAACACGGTAATGAACCTTCGGGTTCCATAAAATGGTGGTAAGTTCTTGAGTAGCTGCACAACTGGCGGCTTCTCAAGAAGGGCTCGGTTCCGTGAGTGGGTGAGTGAAATGATTCACATGTTTCGGAACATGAGCATGTGACTTAAAAGTAGATTCATTATGTATGAATTCATGAAATGATTTATAGATTTCTTACGGGGATCCAATCAACATACGGTGCTCTTAACCGAATAACATTCCTGCTTTGTGTTATGAGGTTATGGGTTCGTATCATGATCTTAACACCGGCTGTTCTAGATTAGATTTTTATTGTGGGAGGCGTGGGAAATTTAGCAGCGGTTTTGACAGCTCACTCGGTATTAGCGACTGGACGACCGAGGGTTCGGAGTTCGGGTCCCGGTGGATTCATGAATTTTCTCTTCTCCACATCGTCCAGACTGGTTCTGGGGCCCACCCAGCCTCCTATCCAATGGGTACTGGGGGCTCTTTCCCCTGAGGTAAAGCGGCTAGGAATTGAAGCTAACCCCTTACCTCCAACAAGGGCCGAGGTCAAGAAAACGAGGGTCTGTACATCCACTCCCCCTTACGTCTTCATGGTTTAGTGCTTAGTTAGTTACAGGGACAACTTTACTTTTATTGAGACTTAACAGCAACGGATGGTAGGCAGGGAAATGGATGATACATCGGTAAGGATTCGAAAGGAAGTGGTGTTGACCTAATCGAGATACCAGCCGTATCCAGTCATTTACCTCGAACTGAGGAAAACCACGATAAAATCCTATTAGGATATCCAGTGTTCTGACCGAGATTGGAACCCAGAAATTCTCGAATACATGTCTATATTGTTACTTCTAAAACAGCGTGTTTAGTGCAAAGGACACCTTAGGAAACTGCTGGACTACCAGCTACTGTCAGTGCCCATCCGGAAGTTCCTGCGAACAGCCACCTTGACTCAGGTTTTCTCTAATTGCCTCTGTCTTAAAGCAAATGCTGGGTTGGTTCCCAAGTTCCCAGTCGCTACTGCATGAGCATCGTGTAGAATGGGGAGATATGGACTGGATTGATCTGGCTCAGGATAGGGACTAGTGGAGGTCTTTTGTGAACACAGCAATAAACCTTCGGGTTCCATAAAATGTTGGGAAGTTCTTGACTAGCTACAGAACTGGCTTAGTTCCACGAAGTTCTCACAGCGGTTACTACAAGGAGTGCTAGTTCCTGGCCGTGTAGCCCAGTAGAAGATTACCGACATTTCGGATGTAGATATTGCATCCAACTTAGGGTAGAAAATGAAGCCAAGCAAAAGGACCATTGAAGAATTCTATATTCTGGTGTATAACACCATGTAGTCTGTTGAAAATCAACTGACGTTTCGGAGGAAAATGTTGCCTCCAGCTTCAAGGTCAAATAAACCGAGCAAGATACCTGCTGGAATGGTTTCTAAGATCCCAGTTGCTGCTGGATACGTAGAATTCAGATATCTGTCGTGTCTTTCCTCGGATCTTGCAAGCAAATGCAGAAACAGTACTTCAGATTAGACCAGGTCCGTGGTAGATCCAAGGATTTTTTCTTCAAGGAGGAAACCAATTTGCAAGCTGAGCACTCAGGAAATTTGCTTACGGATTACATTTAATCCGTTTGAGATTGTTTTTACTGATGGACATACAGAATTCAAGATAAAATAATATTATCATGATTTAGGCCGGGCCGTGACTATAGACGGGGTGTGGAGTGGATATTGGACTTACTGACGCAGCTCAGAACTACAAGTAATTTCTGGGATTTTGGGAAGTGTCGCCATGTAATTCGGTAGGTAGATGGATGGATGGACGGACGGACAGATAGATAGATAGACAGACAGATACTTGTTTCAGAGGGAACTATGTAACAAGCAACACGGCGTCGCACTCCAGAATACAATAATTATCATAATCGTCATCATGAACACCTGGTAAATAAGATACAAGCAAAAGTAAATTGGTGCCTGTGCTTAACTAATGAGCACGTCATGGAAACTTATGAAGAAATGGGAGTAGAGCTCCATGCATTCTGAACCTCAAAACTAGATGGATGTGACTGATAATATTCACGCCCCGGCCGCATTATCCTCGTGAAACCAGTGCGCAGTACACACTAGATAAAGCCGATCTGGACCCAGTGGAGAAAGAAAAATTCCTGACCCTGCCATGCAAACCGAACCCCAAATGTCCGGACATCCAGACTGTGGCTTCATAATTATACTGACTCCTCTCTGTAGATTTAATATAGGGCGTAAGTCCGTTATGAACCTCGAGTACTGTAGCGTGTAGAGCCGCTGCTATGCAACGACTGCGAGATAGGCAGATATACCAGACCCGCTTCTAGGCAGCGGCTAGGCAAACACATTCCCGTTGCTAGACACCACATTCTTAACAATGCAGCAGTTGGACTACAGCAATGGAAGAGCCGTGTTTTCTGCGTGGTCAATGTCGAGATGTTATAAGCAATGGACAAGTAGTTAGTTGATCGTTCTGTAAGGGAATCTGTGAAGAGAGGACTTGAGCCTGAGTCAGAGGAATAGTCATTGTTGGAGCCGTTAACAGGAAACGTCTAATAACAGAGTGAAAACACTAGACTGTATTATAGTTATTCTTAGTTACGGCATTAGGTGGTCAATAAATCTCTATTCACTAACCAAAACCCAATCTATAGTCACACATACTACACGTGACAATATTAACGCCATAATATTTTTGACAAAGACTGTACTTCTTAGATCATTGTCCAGAAGAAAGATGGCGACGGCGGCTGTGTGTTGGAAGCAGAGGGTTAAGTTGCTGAAGGCTTTTCCTTTTGGTCGGTAGACTTAACGATCTCTTCACTTCCCCCTCCACCTTTCCTTCGTTTTGTGCTCTTCTGTCTTGGTCTTGTGACCGCAGGCATAAGTAGGGAAAGACGGGGGAGCACTGGCATGGCGATCTCCTGGCGCTCCGCTGCATTTAGTCCAGCTAGACGCCTCCACCCCTCCTGAAACCCAATCCATATTAATGTATTAGGGGCGGGAGATGTGGTGTACTCCATCTACAGTAGGAACGAGGGCACGTCATCGTCTCTTAATGACGTAAACTGTAGTAGAAAGATACTACAGTCTTTTTTTCAACATATTTCCGGTATTTATACGTCGGTGGAAAATTTCAAACATACTTACACAGGACTTTTGCTCCGTAAAGTTGGCTACACAACATATGACGTGCCCTGGCCCCTAGAGCAGCTGGACTTTAAGAATTAAGTTTATGTTATGTTGGAAAGGGCTCAGATTTCCTTTGAATTAAAATATATAGAAACCGAAATAGCTCAGTGTATTGACAAAGCTACGGGTTTGACTACCGGGATATTGGGGTTCGATTCCCAACAAAGGCAAATATCTTTCTTCTTCTCCACCTGGTGGGGCCCTCTCTACCTACAGTGTGTGTTGCAACTGTAGATATAAGGTTAAGGAGGCCGGGGAGTGAAGCCTACAACTGACCTCCACCTAGTACCAAAGTTAAGAAGCCATGTGTACTCGACCGCACGTCTTCGTGGTGTGGAACATAATTAGTACTCTAGACTTACATTCAGGTAATGATCGGTTCGAAGCCCGGCCGGGATATCAGCTGTCCTGAGGTCACTCCTGTTTTTCCTTAACCTTCCCAGTAAATGTCAGGATGTTGCCTACAATTATGTCAAGACCATTTCCTTCCAAATCCTTTCCAGTTTATCCTTCGTATGTCATGTTATGTTTCGGTGCTATGTTGTCCAGCTACTGTCAGCGTAGTTAATATCCCCCCCCCAATTAATTAAGCACCAGGACATCTCTGGGGGCACGCCGTAGCGTAGTTGGTTGAGGCACTATGCGTAAAGCCGGAAGGTCGCGGACGAGGTCATTGAAATTTTCAGTTGACCCAATCCTTCCAGCCGCACTATGGCCCTGAGGTCGACTCAGCCTCTAACAGAAATGAGTACCAGGAATCTTCCTTGGGGTAAATGGCGGCCGGCGAGTAAGGCTGACAACCTCGCCACCATATGTGAGCTGCTTGTCTAGAAAATGTGGGAGCCTCGACGTCTCACAACCCTATGAGCCTCCACGGCCTGTTACAGGGATAGCGTTACCTTACCTATGCTATATCTTCCTTACGTTGTGTTTATAAGAAGAAATTAATATTAAACATTGAAAGGGATTTGTAGTTAAAGATGTTACCGTGATGACTACGCTTGTAGAGCTCATAGGTCTCCTGTTTATGAATCATTTTATGTTACTTTTGCAGGTTCTGGAAGCCTGGAACCTCATCATCACGATCTGAAGTTATGCTTCCTCAAGTCAAGGTAGGCACCACACCTGAAAAATTAAGGGACACAATTATTTCTCGCTTCTTTCAGCGCCATATTTCAATATTCGTAATCATTATTGTTGTTGTTGTTGTTGTTGTTGTTGTTGTTGTTGTTGTTGTTATTATTATGTAAACTGCCAGAATCTTTTGTCTTCTTGTCTGCTGTTCAAAAACATAAAAATTAGAATATACAAAACTATAATTTTGCCTGTGGTTCTGTATGGGTGTGAAACTTGGTCTCTGACATTAAAGGAGGAACATAGACTGAAGGTGTTTGAGAACAGGTTGTTCAAGAAAATATTTGGACCGAAGAGGGATGAAGTGACAGGAAGTTGGAGAAAGAAGCATAATGAGGAGCTTCATAACTTGTACTCTTTTCCAAGTATAATTAGAATGATCAAGTCAAGGAGGATGAGGTGGGCAGGTCATGTAGCACGAGTGGGGGAGACGAGGAATGCGTATAGGATATTGGTGGGAAAGCCAGAAGGAAAGAGACCACAGGGACGACCAAGGCGTAGGTGGGTGGACAATATTAGAATGGATGTTAGAGAGATAGGATGGGATGGTATAGATTAGATAGATCTGGCTCAGGATAGGCACCAGTGGAGGGCTCTTGTGAACACGGTAATGAACCTTCGGGTTCCATAAAATGCTGGGGAATTCTTGAGTAATTGCAGAATTGGCGGCTCCTCAAGAAGGGCTCAGCTCCATGAGTAAGTAATTAATGTGTACTGTCACGTATCCGAGATTTTGCGTCATTAATGAGACAGGTGTTGTATTTGATGATCGAATTTATTGGGCTTTTATACAACTGGTTACAACAGTTCACCCACTGTCCCCTTCTTCCGACTGGACACTCCACGGGAATTATTCTGACCTCCAGCTGTACTCTTTTGTACTCCTTCTATTCTTCTGGCAATGCCCTCTTATAACTCCTCAGCACGAACACCACAGAAAACACCGTCTTCTGATATCAAGATTGTGCGTTTATTGGTCCGTTACCTATCAATGGATATCCTGTTGTTGAGAGCCTGTGCTTCGGGAATAAGTTTACGGAGCCGTTGCCAAGCAATGGGCATATACGTCGCAATCTGTGTAGAATTTTAGTTCAGCAATTCAGACTCTATACATACCAGTACAGGATGTTCCTTTGTGTGCTTTTGTTGCTCATTTTACGACACTGTCTGTGTCTAGATTACATAGCGTCGAATGGTGTAATAATTAATACATTACGAATGGGAGAGGATTTAGAAGGATCGGTCTTAACGTAATCCAGGTTCTCTCCCAGCATTCGCTTAAAGGAACTGAGTACAACCACAAATAACTTAAATCAGAGTAGCTATATCGCTGCAGAGATCCGAACTGAGCATCTGTCAAATACAAGTCTAGGGGCTTACTGTTTCGCCCGCCTGTTAGATCCTAGGTGTAATTGGTTCAGGACAACATGTCGACTGACGTCCATGTAACTGGAGTAATCTGCTCAAGTTGGAACGGTCATTTTGTTCAGTGTTTTCCTTGCCGCTTCGCCGCTGCAGAGCCACGTCCACTGCGTCTCAAAGCAGGACAAGGATCCCGAGTAACATGAGGCGGTCTCAGATGTGTTCCGGAATTGTTATCTTCAGAAACGATTGCTTGGCAGGTTTGGCTACGATCCAATAGCAGGGTAATGTGCAAGATTGTTGCCGATGTTGTTATTCTGTAGCGGGGACAGGATTTACTGCGCTGATAAACACGCGGAGAAGCCCGCAGTTAGCCAGTAAGCGCGGATTGCTGCTCTGCCAGATATTCCCACCGACATAAGAATCCTCAGACAGCTGAGGTCTCAGTACACAGCGCCGAAGGAAGGAGGAGGATTTAATGGTGCAGGAAGAGGCGGAGAGAAGAAAGAAGGGAGGAAGGAGAAGCCAAAAGAGAAAGAAGATGCAGAGAAATAGGAGAAGAAAATAAGAAATAGAAGCACAATGAGTATGAAGAGGTAAAGAGAGGAAAGAAAGAAAAGAAGAGAAAGCAGAAGGCGAGGAGCAAAGGGGTTAGGAAGAGAAGAAGGAGGCGGAAATGAAGATAAGGAGGAAGAAGAGAATTCGAATGAGTGAGATGTGAACGAGGAAATAGAATAGCAAAAGCGAAGAAGAACGAGGAGGAAAAGGAAGTTAAGGAATATGAAGAAAAGTAGGAAGAGAGAAAGTAAGTTGACGAAGAAAAGGAAGGGGAGAAAACGAAACAGGATAAGAAGGGAGAGAAGTAGGAAGAGAATAAGAGAATTTATGCGGAGGAAGAGGAAATAAAGAGGTAGGAAGAAAAAGATAAATAAATAATAAGTGAAAATGGAGAAAAAGTAGGGGAATAGAGAAGATAATTTTTATATTTCATCCTTAGATGATAAATTGGGCAGTTACATGCTCAGTAAGGTTACCGAAACGTCGCGTTATTTTCGGAAACCCAGACGATGGACGGAATCCAGAAACCCTACAAGCCTGAGTGCATAGACCATCACTACAGGCATTTAGAACTGCTTATGTGTGCTTTGAGATGTATCGTCTAAGAAAGAGCAAGTGACTTGGAATTCGTATGGACGGGCCTAATGTCAGACACAGTATTGACGTTATACATGACGTCATTCTCATTATCTTCACTGGGGAGTAGGGTGAAATGGGGGCGGGGATTGAAGATGAAACAGAGTGAGCGGGAGACATACTTAAGAAGTTCTAGGAGCTCAGTAACCTCTCTGAAATCTCACAGCATGTGGAAACTGGGTCTGTCACGTTTTCTTTATAGTTTGATTTGCCTCACTTCACTACCCTTTACAAATGCTTACGTATAAGTACACGAACCGTGGAGGCTTTTCAAACTCTGCATTGTCGTTTGACAGACAGGTAAAATCACCCCCATATACCTTTGTCTCAAAACAATATTGTAGTAGTTTGGATAGAGAAAGATAGAGGGAAGCAGAGTTCTCCAAAGTCACCCAACATTACCGCACCAGTCCTCTAGCCTTTGTTGTGTGTTTGTTTGTTTGTTGTGTAGAGTGACAATATGGTGTGGTTTTGTCATCTTGTCCTGGACAGATGGGAAAGGGGGAAGTTGGTTTGGAGGTCTAAGATTAGTTATTTCCTACCACTAACTTACAACCGCCATCAGTGACAAATAATAATCTACAATGCGCAGTGTATGTCAAGTAAAGGATTGGTTCTTGTCTAGAATCCCCTTCATTCTGCATTTCTAGCTCAAAAACCTCAGAAGTTTTTTCAAAGAAATTTGACTCTAAAAGTGCCAAGTGTAGGAAATTTCGATGTGTACAAATATTGTGACATTTGACTGCATGTGACATCTGCTGGCATTTTGTCTGAACTACATAGTGCAGAAATATTTGTATGGATTCCACCCCCCCCCATACGTTTTCAGTTTTTGCTGAAATGTATGATATTTCCTTTTGAAGAACTGCAGCTAGGCACATAACAAATTAGAACCTGGTTCATGAGGAAATCATGAGGAGACTGAATTCAGGTAATGCTTGCTACTATTCAGTCCACAACATTTTTTCTTCTCGTCTGCTGTACAAAATATAAAATTAGAAGATGCAAAAATATAATTTTGCCTGTAGTTCTGTATGGATGTGAAACTTGGTCTCTGACACTAAGTGAGGGACATAGACTGAGGGTGTTTGAGAACAGGGTGCTGAAGAGAATATTTGGAACGAAGAGAGATGAAATGACAGGAGGTTGGAGAAAACTGCATAATGAGGAGCTTCGTAACTTGTGCTCTTCTCCAAGTATAATTAGAATGATAAAGTCATGGAGGATGTGATGGGTAGGGAATGTAGCACGAATTGGGGAGAATAGGAATACATATAGGATATTGGTGGGAAAGCTAGAAGGAAAGAGATCACTGGGAAGACCAAGACGTAGGTGGTGGATGGACAATATTAAAAAGGATCTTAGAGAGATAGGATAATATAGATTGGATTGATCTGGCTCAGGATAGGGACCAGTGGAGGGCTCTTCTGAACACTACAGTAAACCTTCGGGTTGCATAAAATGCTGGGAAGTTCTTGAGTAGCTGCAGAACTGGAGCCCAGCCAACCGACAGTTGCAGTTACTCTGGGGATTAAGGTTTGGGAGGAAATATATGTGGATACGTATAATCCGAAGAAGAGAGACCAGTTGGAAGATCTAGGCGTAGATGGGAGTGTAATAACGTAATGGATCTTAAACTGGATGTAAGGATGTTGACTGGATTCATGTGCCTGGAGACAGGTAAAAGTGGCGGGCTCTTGTGAACACGTTAACGAACATCCGGGCACCATAAACAGTTGAAAATATCTTGAGCAGCTGAGGAATTACTATCTACTCGATAAAAACTCTGTTCGAATGAGTTAATTTTTGTGTAGGATTATTTTTTCTTCTCCTGAAAATTCGCCTTCAATTATTTTGCATTAATAAGAATATAAAGAATTAATTGTCATTATGGTCTCCAGAAATATTTGTAGTTACTACGTATTTTTGAGGAGCCGGGATGTCTCAGTCGGTATAGCAACTCACTACGGGCTGGACGACCGACGGGTCGGAGTTCGAGTCCCCTTAGTGTCAAGAATTTTCTATTCTTTACGTCGTCCAGACCGGCTGTGGGGTCCACCCAACCTTATATCCAATGGGTACCGCAGGCTCATTCCCCGGAGGTATAGCGGCCGGGGCGTGAAGCTGACCACTCACCTATAACTAGTGACGAGATCAAGAAAATGTGGATCTATACATACACTCCCCCATACGTCTTCATGGCTTAGTGCTTAATTAGTTAAACATAGGGACAACTTTACCTTATTATGTATTTTGATCGCACCCACTGATTAGTTATGCGCAGTTATTCTAAATGTTTTGGGCCATACAGGAAACAACATGAGATTCCCTGTAGAACAGGAGCATGCGCAGAAGCATAAAGGAAATAATTCCCAGTGTGTTGAGTGAAAGTGCATGAAGAAAATATTCTCGGTTTAAGTCT